TAACTCTCACATATTCTTTTTTTTTTAATAGGGACGCAAACACTTAGGTTTATAGGTTTTTTAGGATTTGAGAGAAAAAAAAATATTTTAATGGGTTTAATCCTTTTAAAATATTTTAAATAGGTTTTTTCTTTGGTCTATTTTACGTTTTCGGTTTAACAGAAATTTTTGCGCAAAAATTATAAAAATCTCCGGGGAATACGGTAGTGAAAAAAAAATTAAATCCTAGCATTTCCTCATAGGCACACTGTAACAAGATAAAATGAGAATGTGATGTTTTGTATGAATCTCGAATTGCTAGATGTGTCCAATCCGTACTAAAACACCATACAGAAAAGAATACTAGAGAATAAATAAACGAATTTGGTACAATATCCAGATAAACCATACCCAAAATCGAACGGGCCATAAAGAAATATATTGATTGAAACCTCAATTTCTTTAGAGAACGTTTATATATTCGTATACCAAACCAAAACGAGACCGGAATTAAAAAATGAACAGAACCAATCCTAAAGGTATGCAGTATTCTGTATTCATACGCCTCAACCGAAATTTTAAAAACCAAGATAATCTGAACAGAAAACTGGATTTGAGCCCCTACTATGTATGTTGTTTAGCTTTTAGAAAATTGTAAATGATGAGATATCACAACCATACAAGTCTCAAAAGGGGACCTCAAGTGAGTCGTCCCATGCTTCAGCACTTCCATTAGAAGCATCTTCAACGTCCTCTTCCATGGATAGCCTAATGTATTCTCTATGAGCAAAGCGATCCCACTCCGTCCATGTAGGATTTGCCCGCTCCTATGTATTATTAGGAATCAATAATGAATCTCTCGTTTTAAAGTATATAGCTAATTAAAAAACGTTGTATGATACCTGACGGATGAGGAAGGGGTCGCGCGTTTCAAATGCCATAAACTTGTTTAGGTTGAACAGTATATTGAAAACATTTCCAGAAAGTTTAGAGCCCTTCAAATCATTCAGACAAATGTACCCTTCGTCCTCTGGTTTGACCATGTCGAATAATTGGCACAGAATATCCTCAAACAGAACCGCCTCTTGCGCCATGCATTCCATTCTATGCAGCTGCTCCTCGTAAAAGAATTGCAGCTCGTTCCGCGTCAAAACTCCATTTGCATCCAAATCTATGCACTTGAACCTATGTCAACAAAAATCTCTTACTAAACACAGACTATCTATCTTTTTTTCTTTTTCTCTTTTGTGATATATGAAAAATTTCATCATTCTCACCAATACTCGAGGCTGGGTTCTGATGACTTGTCTTCTTCGGCCAATATGAAGTAAACAAAATCCTCATAACCCATCTTTCCTTCGGTTTTACTAGTAAACTTCCTGGGTACCTATATAAGTAGACACAGTGACAATGACATTCCAAAAGCTAGTAGGTAAAAGAAATACAAGCAATGCAGATGCAGAGATGCGAACCTGGGAAAAGATTCGGTCGACAATCCTATATGTGAGTGCATGGTTACTATACCGGATGAGATTCTCTTTGTCGATCAAGAAATCATGGTCGGTATCCAGCTCCCAGAATTTGCAGTATATGACATAGAAATGCTCATAAGAGAAGTACCTAATAAAGAGTAGAGTCAGAATAGAATGAATAAATGAGCACCAAAGATGAATACTACTAATTAATTGTCAGTCACCTACCTCAACACCTTATTGATATCTTCTTCTTCATCGGCATGCTGCATTGCGTCAACTAAATTTCCTCGCTTAAGCTCTCTCAACGTAAGATGCCCGTTCCCACTCCTATTTACGTAGTAATATATTCTGTATATTACAGTTTCAGCTGTTTCCAAAAGTTTTCCACAAACATTACAATTGATCATATGCTCAACTTTATATCTGTCGCACATGTTATCAGAATTGTTTCTATCTAATGTGAACATATGATCTTCTTGTACTAATAGTTTTTCAGCAATAATATCATTTGGCAAAAAAACAGAAACTGCATCACATGAGAGTCTTGGACTAACCATATCTATCCTGAAACTCAGGTGTGCCTTGCAAGAATTCAAGGCCAGGGTGTGTTGCCAATAGTTCTTGGAGCACAGTCTTAAAATCATCCTGTCATAATATAACTCAACAAGTTAGGGATTCCTGCAATAAAGACGAGTTGCCACATATAACAAGTGTATCATGAAATTGTGTGGCCAAAGAAAAAGCACCTGGACAAGGTACTTGTTATCTGGTTGCTTCAGTATTGTAAATATCTGACTTGTTATCTCCTTTGTCAACATATTTCCCTTAACCCAATAATCAATGAAGTCTTCTCTGTAAAGCAAAAATGCATGGCTTTTTATGTTATGATCACAGGACTAGCTAAGCTAGTATATACGTAAGACCAAACTCTGTAGCTAACAATGGACTGAAAAAATGTTAAGAAAGGAAAAAATTGCAAACCTTTTCACAAAACCAGTGTTATTGGTATCAAGTTTCTTGAAAATAGAGGTAGAGAAAAATGATGGAAGCTTGCAGATCTCAGTAGTGACCAATTTAAAGTCTGACGAGAAGAAAAGACATGGTTAGTGAGTAAATATTAGAGATGGATGCAGATATCGAAAGAGCAACAAACAAAGAAACAAACCTTGCGATTGCAAACCATCGTGATGGCCATGGAAGAGAGTGTTGATCTTCGCTATACACTGCTCCTTTTGGTCGTTTGGTGGTGGGCGACCATCTTCAAAGTAGAACTGAGGGATGAGCTCTTTAAGATGGTCAGAAACAACTTTGAGAGGGGAGCTAAGATTAGAGAGTCCGGTCCTTTGTCTGGTGATGCGAGGGGAACCAGTTGAGTTCCTGGGAGAAAGAGGAGGTCCATTGCGTGCAGGAAACATTGTAGCCAAAGGACTATTAGAACCTGAGTTTGTAGCCGAAGAGGACCCTCCACATACAACATTATTCAATGCAACTCCTGCCTTTACATCATTCACCAAAGATGCAACCTATAATAATAATAATACCACCATCATTTCTCAACATTCATATCTAGGCCTAATTCAAATCCCAAACATATCTAGGCCTAATCCAAGAGAAGATTTACCAAGCGATTGGTTTCAGGGAGCGCAAGCCACTGATCAAAGAGCTTCTTTACGAAATCTTGATTCGATTTCATCGACATGGGTGATGTCTCCGGCAACTGTAACAGCTCTATATCCAACGTTATGGACTCCATCGCCGCCTTTGGATTGGATCTTGCTTTTCCAATTTTCTGATCAATACGAAAGTGAGATTGTTCTTGTGTTATATACATTCATACATGTGTACTAGTGTGTGTATATGTGAGATTCAGTTAAGAGAAAGAAGAAGAAAAGTTAATAGATCCGTCCGATCCTGGAGGAGATTGTTCTCAAATTAAGGGTCGATGGAGAGAGGCAAGGGAAACACACTCATTAACGTTTGTTTTCTCAGTCAAAACTATATTTAGTAAAATACTAATTAAAAAATATTACTTTCTTTTAGTAATCTACGTAACGTTGGCACGTTGAGGTTGAGCCACCACAATTCACAAGCATTCAACATTCTCTATGGAAACTCGATTAATTAGTCTATTTTTTTTTTTATTAAAGAATTAATTAGTCAAATGGTAATACTTTAAATTTGAGGAGAACTATTATTCAATCCATCATCATCTTCTCCATATTTATTCGGTTCTTTTTCGCTTACTCTCATATGTTTCACACAAAATTAGAATCACAGTATATATAATAATTCACGACACAACAACCTTAATCTACACATTACACATCAATTGTCAAACAGATAACAAAAGATCAAACGAAAGTAGAGCGGCTGATTTAGCAATCAAGTTCGATCTGCAGAACAATAAATTAAGCAAAACATTTAAAAAAAACCCAAACTTTAAACTTTGTGTTTCACTCTAAAGACC